TCCTAGCTCTATTTACTATTCACTTTTGTGTTACAGCAGTTCTCAACCTGTGGATCACAACTTCATTGACAAACCTCCAAAACTATTTACATTACAATTCACAATAATAGAAAATTCCAATTATGAAGTAGCAATGAGAATAATTTTATGGTTGAGGGTCACAATAACATGAGGAATTGTATTAAATGGTTGCAGTATTAGGAAGGTTGAGAACTCCTGTGTAAGAAGGTATTTTCTCAACTAGCTCTTCTGGATACCTGTTTCTCCTTTCTCCTTGCCTCTTTGTGCCCCAAAGCTGAACTCCATTGTACTTAGCACTTGGGCTCACTTCATGTCTAGATTTTGGTTGGGTTGGGCAATGTGAAGCCCTGGCAGGAGGTCAAAGGATTGTAGGATAGAAGCCAGGAAGTATATCCCACACCCACATATCTATAAGCCAAAAGTAACCCTTCTATCTCGGTTATGAATGTCTCTCTCTGGGTCCTAGCACCAACAAAATCCTACCTCAACCCCTTTAAAACAGTTGGGGAGGGAAGTGATGGCTACCTGCTCACCTTAGTCCCCTGGGACGTATCACCAACCTTGCTGGTTCCATTAGTTCTGTCCACAATTCTAGGAAGGGTCTTTTCTCTTCCAGTTAATTAATAAAGACACATATAACTGTTAATATTGTCTTCTCACATACTCAAAGCCAAGAGCCCCTTGCTGACTTGGGCTCATTCCATGTAAAAGCAAAAGAATGTATGGAGGTAGAAGAAGCAAAATAACCACATCTTTGTGTTTCAGGGGATAAAGAAGATGTGCCTGTCTCTGAGATAGAATGCCTGGAAGTGTAAAATGATGCGACATTTATAGAGATACAGGATATGGATGACTGAACTCTATCTGGTTGGAGGATTGTGCTTTTCCAGCAAGCCACTGTGGCCTTGGAATAGCATTGCTGGGCCAACAACGGCAGGAAGATGGAAGGGTCTAGAGGTCTTAGGAGCCATGAGGAGTCCAGAGGGGCATGATACCCATGCAGCAGCAGTCTGATTATGAGAGATTTTTCAAGTGTCTAAGTGGACAGACATCATCAATTGATAGAGCATGGGAGACAGCTGACACAATAAAAGATACTGGGCCCTTTGCCAATCTGGCTCTCAAATCTCAAGTCACTTTAAATTTTATTTGATGGGGGATGGGTAGAGGGGAGATGGGAGGAGGGGATGGAGGAGAGGAGGAAGGGGATACTGTGGTCACTATGTAAAATACATTTAAAATTTAATTAATAATATATATTATTTGACAAAGAATGTGTGGTGAGATTCAGTTGCCTGATGATTAGAGAACTTCTTTGTACAGATAATGTTTCCCACTTGGAAACATTGATGATTTTACTTTAAAATCTCTTGCACACAAAACAAGATTCTGCCAACATGTAAGGAATAATGTAATGTAGACTCTAACCTGCAAGTCATAAGCCAATCTAGTCTAGTGTCTATTGAGATCAATGATACAATCAAGTCCAGCAATGGGTAGATAATATAAAAAAAGACAGGTTTAAATTTCTGTAAATTGTTTTTTTTCTTTCTGTGCTTCTCATTTGTAACAGAAAAAGTCGTAAGACAGAGAACTGGAAGTAACTGAGAGAATAATACTTTTGCTGTATTATTTTTTGTTCTTTACAAAGAAAGGAAGGAGTTGTTTAAAACACAAAATATTTTCAAGAGATGTTTCAAAATATAACCCTAGAGAAATGGCCACATCTCCCCAATGTGTATCACAGCAGAAACAGGAGCATAACTATCTATCATGACGACTCACCATCCACTGCCCTTTTAGTCTCCCAACTATGTATACACAGCCTTGTGTTAAGATTCTTAGTTTTTCACACTACAAATTAGAGCTTCAAGCCTGTACACGGGAAACAGTTGAACTCTATCGTCACAGGTAGGACCGTAGATCTGTACATATTTTCTCTTCCTAAATGTTTCCAGTTATTCTGGGTGACAGTCATAATTCCTTTGAGTCTACAAATAAGACCCATGAGGCACAGTGAGGGTCAATGGGATGCTCATGGCATCATGCTCAGAAAGCCATGAGGTATGGCATTTAGCTTGAGTTCATGCTTTTGTCAATGACTTCAAAATGGAAATGAAAACAGAAATGTCTGCAGTGGCAGGGAAATGGTGTAATTGACATTTTTAGAATTGATTTGTGTAAAGGTTTAAACATCTTATTTTGAAAAAATCCTATTACCCTGTTTACGAATATTAACACCAACTCTGTTAGTTTTGATAGTGGCTTGTTGGTTCCAGAACTTTTATTCCTCTCCAGTACTGGGAATGGAACCCAGGTATTCACACATGCTAAACACGAGCTACCGCTCGGCTACACCCTCAGCCCAAACACATTTAATTAGGAGTAAAGAGAGTTGATTTAGAGAAAGGGGTCTCCTTCCACTTCTCTCTATTTCCTTTTGTCATTCCTGGTGGCTTTTAGAAGAACTTTACACATGTCAGTTACTTTTGCGAAGTGATTTCAGTATCTGTGCACCAAGGGTTTCATATCAAAATCTACAGGGGAAAAATGGTTTATGGATTCATGCGATTCTTCCAAAACATTGGCTACAAAATCCAGAATAAAACCCCCTTCTTGCTAAAAAAAAGCATATGGACAAAATTGCAAATGCTAATTTGTATTGAATGTGAAAACTAAATAAACTCCCAGCATGCTGCCATTAGGTTGAGTTCTTTCATCTACCTCTCAGATAGAGCCAGAATGCTCCCAACTTCCTCCACCCACCATGTGGAGATAGCTTTCTTTCTTGTCTGAATTTCCTTAAAGGGACACAGACAGACATCAACCACAGGCCAGAAGAGAACTGACCCAGCCTGCTCTGAGCATAAATCTGTGTGGGATCAATAAGGAATGATGAATAAAAGGGAGTTCAAATGACTGAAAACAACGAAGTATCATATGTTAAACCTAGTTCACCTCTGGTCTATTTCTTATTTCCTATATGACCATAGCTTATGACCTTTGCCATGGAAACTGGGTTACCATGGCAAGATAGACTGTGATTTATCTCTGATAAATCTGTTTGTTATGCCGGGAATGAAACTTGGAACCTTCCAACATGCTCAGCAAATGCTCCACCATTGAGTGACTCTCCCAGGCCATCTCTGGTAGTATTATAAGCAGGTTTCTGATATTTGCATGGGGTGAATATGCTTCTAGAAGAGAGATGCTAGTTTCTTTTGAATAACCTCAAGTAGACATAAGCAAAGATTTAGTTATTCATGTAAATCAAATTATAGGTGTGAAACTGAAGCTGTGAGAGTCTAGGTGTGTGTTAATGAGCATTAATGTCTGAGGAAAACAGTGCCAGTTTATTTTTTAACATACTTCGACTTGAAAAACAGCCAATGTGGGAAAACTCACAGGATGTTGGCATGTGTGAAGATAGCAGGATTCACAGTCGAAGGAGACCAGGGAGATGAAATGCTGGCAGTGGTACCCTGCTGCTTATCTCCATCCCACTTTCAGCTTAAGAGCAGCTGCCAGTGGGTGATACAGAACATCAGGAGAAGTAGGTAAAAAGAATTAAAGCTACATCACAGGTCTATAGTTGTGTTGCTATGGTCTCTTGGATCAGTGTCCATTGGTGTGTTGGTAAATGTTTAACTAGCTCCCCAGGGAAGAAGAAGCCTGATCTCAGGCAGCTGCCAATTTCTGTAGTGTGAATGTCCCTCCCACCATGGTCAATCGCTAGCAACCAACCTGACCTCACTGAACACAGATTTTGAGAGAAATGGAAAAGTGGAGTACCCAACTGAGTGTGGCCTTTTTCTAGTGGTTCTACTTCAATGGGACATACCTCTGAATGAGAGAAAACTAATTTCTCTTTCCCTAGACCAGGTTACTCGTCTGTGTTTTGCTTACACTATGTCAAACACTTCCCTCATCTAGCTATACCTTGCTCATCCTTTAGATCAGTATACAAATGTTCCTTAGCTACCAAATCAAAACTAGGAAGGTTTCCCTCTTACAGCTCTGGGTATCCCACTTCCTAAGGCTTTTGTATGGCCTGAGTATATCTTCTGGGGATCACGTATTGAAATTTAATCACTAGTGTGAGGTATTAAGAGGGTAGAAACTTAATCCAACTGTGGTGTCCAGAGGTGGAGCCTTGGAGACTGATTAGGATTAGATGAGGTCATTAGGGTGGAGCCTCATGATTTAATCCTAATGGTATTATAAGAGAGAGACTAGAGAACAAGTGTATGTGCATGCATACACGCAGTAATATTACCTGTCTCTTACCATGTCAAACCCTGCATCACATTGGGACTCTGACAGTAAGAATGCTATGGGAAATTGACCTCAGACCGCCACACTTATGCACCAAAATAAACCTCCTTTCTTTCTAATTCATCCAGTCTGTGGTAATGACTTATTGGCAACATCAAATGGATTAACATACAGCCTAATTAACATCCTATTTTCAAAGTTTGTTTAATTTTCTAGGAACTTCATGAGAGCAAGGAGCGAGTCACATTATGTCTAGTACAAAACAGGAATTAATAAGCCTAATGCATTTGCTGACTGAAGCAATGAGGAAGGGAAACCCCAGACACACCTTGAAATCACCACCCACAAGTTGCCTCTACTGAGAAACACAGCGAAGCAGTTGATGGTGTCACAAAATCACTGTTGCAGTTTGAAATGTGTTCAATTTCTCTTACCACTTTGATTACAAGTCATTTAATTTCTTCTCTTGCACAATGAGGAGAATCATTAGTAGGGAGCCAATGGATTTGATACAAGAAGGGGAACAATGTGTTCAGCATTTTCCTGGGCATTTGGCTCTTACTATTTAATAAATGTTCACCAATACTGATAATTTGCTTTTCTCTTTTTAGCAAGTTATTTATTTACTCAGAAAAACAACTTCCAACCCATAAACACACCATTCAAGAATGTCATGTGTGTATGAATAATGAGTTATGTCTTACCTGGCCCTTTGCCTGACTGCCCTGGCAGCTGCGCCGGTGAGTAACCACAGCTGCTGGAGGTGAAGACGTTGCCCAATGGTACTCTTTTCAGAGATTATTATGTACATTTTGGTTAACTTCACCTCCAGCCATCTTGCACCTCCTCTTTGTTCCTCTTTGCTTGTCTCTTTCTGGGACATCACCTCATCTTGGTTTATTCCCCATCCTTCTTCTTTTCTCTCCCTCCCTTTGTGAGCTCCAAATACCTTCTTCACAACAGTCACACACTGACCCCAGGGAGACAGAAGGTGAACTAAAGCAAACTAGAAAACCACTCTAATTAACCTCTAGAGTCCTCTAAACAAACCTGGAAGGCCTCCAGTCACCAGTTACCTTTACAGGATGCTTCCAAGTGTGCTGCTTCCCCAGCCCTGGTATTCTAAATCATTAGAGAACAAAACATGTAACTAAAGTGTTTCTTTAATTGCTCCTTCTGCAAAGGCTTTGTTTCCAACTAAGTGTATTATTTCTTCTCATACTAGTCCCACAATAACATTCCACTGAAGGAGATGGAGAGGTGGCTCAGCAATTAAGAGTGCACACTGCTCTTGCAGAAGACCCAAGTTCTACTCCTAGTACCCAGGTGACTCACAACCAGCTGATGCTTCTGGCCTCCTAGGGCAGCTGCACTTATATGCATACCCCACTCCCATCTCCACGAGTTAAAATAAATACTCTATTAGAGGTCCACTAAAACTATGCCAACGTAACTCCAACTAAAACATGTTATGGGAGATAGATGTGGACTAACCTAGAAATCTGACTACCTGTTATGATTTGAATATGAAATTACTTCATAGACTCATGTAATGGGGGCTTGTTTGCCAGCTTTTGCTGGCTTTTAGACAGTGGGCTTTTGAGGCTCTTACCTAATCAACAGAGTGAACCCTTGATGAGTTCCTAACATGCTGTCATTGCCGCAAAGTGCTAAAAATAGTGAGTATTGCCTTGTGGGAGGAAGTAAATCATTTGAGTGTGCCCTAGAAAGGTACATCCTATCCCTTTCCCTTTCTTTTCTCTTTTTACTTTCTGGCCACTATGAAGTAGGTAGCCCCTGCCACATGGGATTCTCCATGAAGTTCAACCCTGTCTCCCACCCAAAGTAATGGAACCAACCAAGCACATGCCAAACTCTCTGAATCCAAGAATCAAAATAAATCTTTCAGATTTTAAGTATTTGTCATAGTGACAAAAAGCTGACACTATAGCTCAACCATGTTGTAAAAAGACCATAGGGCACAGCTTTTTTATAAATGGAGAATTCTTTATGTGATTAATAGCTTATATCAGGAACTTTCTTTGCCACTTTTTGTCTCTTTCAACTGTAAGGGAACACCTCAAAGCCACCTATATACCAACAAATGCATATGTAAGGGCCAGCTTTTCTGAGTTTTTCTACAAAGAATGAACCTTTTACTTTGTGTGTGTGTGTTTACTGCTGCATACCACAGGCTAACTGACTGGCTTCTGGCAACTCTGTGTTTACAGCCTCATCTCCCAGAAGGGGTGCAATGGAATTATGACTTTTACGTGGGCTCTGGAGCTCTAAACTCAGCTCATCAGGCTTGTACAGCAAGTGCTTTGCCTACTGAGCCATCTCTCCAGACCACCCCCTTGCTTTTCTAATGCGTTCTCTTCGACATGTGTGGAGGGCAAATACAGTGGGAGCATAGCAGGATGTATAATTGTTGAAAATGAGTGTGTTAATCCAAGACACAAAGCTTATCTGCATTGCTGAAGAAAATGTAGTTCTGAACTTTTCCAGACTTGGGTGGCAATCTACACAAGGCCTCCAGACAAAGCCACCATGAGTGCTATTCATGTAAAGAGCCAGATTGCTGAAAGGGGACCCGCCCTTTCAAAGTCCAAACTCAGTTCAACTCTTTCTTAGCTGGTAACTTTTAAATTTGATTTTACAATTCCTCCTCATCCAGGAATAACCCCTTTATAATTTCAAATACATAGCTATTGTATAAAGGCATACTACGTTGAATAAAGACATATTACTGACTGGTAAGAATGTCTTTAAAAGATATGGAATCTTGGGTGTCATTTTTAATGGCTGTTGCTTAGGGAATAAACTTTTATTTAGACCAGACTTGAAACCAAAAGTCCTAGGCTTGCAAGGGGATTTTTGTATGCAAGGTCATTATTATACAATGTTTAAGCTATCTTTAAAAGCACTAGGGCAGAACTCTTAAATACAACTGAGCAAACCATGCACTATATCAGAGTGCAAGGTCAATGGAGGAAGTAGAAGCTCCAATCAGGCTACTGTCTGCTCTCTAACAGAAGACCCCATAGGGCTATATGCCTCAGAGAAGACACCTTTATATAATTCCAAACTCTCTCAAGTTACTCAAGACTCTAGTGGCAGGCTTTGTGATGGTGTGAGGAGCACAGAAATAAAAGAGTCAGGCAGGATCATGCCTACTGGAGCTTGAGGACACAGATCTCAGCACACTTCATGACGAGGCATATAAGCTAAACGTTAAGGAAACATGGTGCCAAGCCCTAGGGCAAAGGACAAGTCTGTGAACCTTGTGCCACTATCTGTGTTTATTTCCTTTTGTTTTTCCTTAGAATTATACAAAGCATTCCAAAAAGTTCTAGTCTGCCTGCCTTGATTGTGTTTAAAAGAACCATGGGAAATGTTTTATTTGCTGTTTGGGTCACACAGTCATCTGCCTCCCAGGCCCAGAAAGGTGGTAATTGAAGAAATCAGAACTGCCAGCTTCACCCCCACCAGCTCCCAGAGTCTGGCCTAGTTGAGAATCCTTTGGTTCCCAGGGGAAGTTAGTAGAATTTTTTCATATTTTTTTTTGAGGGAGATGCTAAGGACCCTCTAGCTAACCCCATAATTGGTTCTCTTTGGGAGAACAAGCAGAAAATATCCAGAAAGAGAATACTAAAAATACTACCTTCTGTTTTTTTTCTGAGAATTTTCAAGGATTCCCATAATGTGGCCCTTTCCTCTTTCCTCTCAAAAGGAAAATCAGGACTTCACTACAGCAACCATGTGAGTAGGGAGCCATCTGTTTGTTTCCCAAAGTTGTGAAAATTTTCTGCCCTCTCTAGAATTGTCGAGACTTCCAGCAGAGCCTGAAACCTTTGTGCAGCTGGCAAGCAAGTGAGCAGAGGCAACTGTTGATCATTTCAGCCCTAAAAGTGAGGAATTGCTTTTTTCATTCACCACGGGAAAAGGCTAGTCCTGTATTAAGATAAGGGATGGGCATCTTAGAATGTTCAGGAATTTCAGAGATGAAGCTAGGCTGCCTGTCTTGTCAAAAACACCTTCTGTGGCCAAGGTACAAATTCCCTGGAGTCAGCCAAAACTGCCTTTACTGCTCAGGATGTTGCCCTGAGACCGGAGAAAGAACAATACATGGCACTGTCTGGACAGTCTACTTAATGTGCACTGTGCCCATAGAAATCCCAGAGCTCTTCCACCACTGGCATTTTCCACTTATTTCTTTTAATTTTAATACTGAAAAAATATTCATTGTGTTGAAATATGTACAATGCAAAACTCACCGTGTTAACCATGCTTACATGCACAACTCAGTGACACTACATACTTTCACATTGTTGAGCAACCAATTTCCAGAACCCTTTTTATCATGCAAAACTGAATTTCCATTCCCATTAAATGAGAACAGCCCCATCTATCCCTCCTCCCACATCTACATTCTGCTTCTCAGTCTGAGTACTTTAAGGACCTTATATAGGTGCAATTCTGCAGAAGTTATCCCTTCATGACTGGCTTATTTCTCTTAGCACAATGTCTTAAGGATTCATCCATCCAGCAGTGTGTGTGTGTGTGTGTGTGTGTGTGTGTGTGTGTGTGTGTGTGTGTGTGTGTGTTGAATTTTCATTCTTTTTTAAAAGGTTGAATAATACTCCATTGTATATATCTACCATATTTTGTTTATCTCCATATGTAAATGGATATTTGGGTTGCTTCCACAGTTGTGTGAATATAAATAATTCTTTCATGAACATGAATGTACAGACACCTGTATAAAGATCAGAGTTCAATATTTTTGATTGTATGCCTGGAAATAGAATTGCAGGATCATATGGTAATTCTACTTTTATGTTTTTGTTTTTGAGGAATGCACCATCCTATGTTGTATAGAAACAAGATACCTGGGAGAATAAATTATTCTCATTAACCTCAATGACAATTTTGAATTAAGAAGAACATGTTAAAATTCTCCCATAGTGGTATAGATCAATCCATACCCCCTCCACATTCATTTGGGAGTGTTTTTTACTGAGACTATTCACTGAGTATAAAATCATTGTATTCCTGGAGACTTCTTATGGTTTTGCACTTACAGTGATTGATTTCATCTTAGGATCACAAAAGACTTTTCTCCCTGACTGTGACTATGATTATTATCACTTTGTGACAGTGTAGAGAATGAAGGACAGAATATTTAAATGGCTTGCCTCAGAAGATCCTGAGTAATTATGGCTGAGAAAGAAAGCTAACAATGTATGCCCTGTTGAGGCCTCTTGGTTTGAGGAGCACTGGGATCCCAGGAGGGCCATGGCTTCCATAAGTTGCTCTAGGAGGGACTGACAGATTGATGAGTTGCAGCTGCAAAGAACTGGCAGTATCTGGCACTGGGTGGCCCTACCAAGGGCAGGAGAGTCTGATCTTGGATAGAAGAAAAAAGCTTAGGCAAGGCTCTCTTTTAGGATAGGAGTAAGAAAGAAGTAACGTTCTGGAGGCTAATATAAACAAATTGAAGAAAACCCTTCAGTTTAGCAAACCATGTTTCTAACATCCTGCTTCCTTAGTTAAAATGAGCGTGTGAGACTTCACAGAAGACCTTCCAGACAATGAAAAGCTGTGGGTGCATCTTGGCTTATAGACACATTCCAGTCTGGGAGAAGTAAACATGGTGATATGGATCAGCAAGGCAGCCAAACAGCTCCAGGGCCCATGAGCACAGACCCTGGATCTAATAAAACAGTCTTCATCCTGTCATTTGAAGGGGTATGCTCAGTTCCCTAAGGGAGTCTGTAAAATTCCTTTGACTTGCCTGCAACAACCTTATATTCCAGGGTTTTTCATTTTCTAGATTATGCAACGGGAAAAAACTCTATGCCCAACTACATTAACAGTTGCTTATTTTTTTGTGATGTGATGGTAATTTATAGTGAT